AACAAACACAAACGAAAACACAAAAACAAGCGCAAAGACAAACCCTACCACAAACACAAAGAAAACACAAACACTAACGCAAAAAAAAAACGAAAACAAATCCAAACACAAACACAAACCCAACCACAACCAAACAAAACCAAAACACACCAAAAAAACAACGCAAACTTAACACAAATACAAACGAAAACAAAAAACAAACACAACCACAAACACAAAGAAAACACAAACGCAAAGAAAAAAGCAAACGAAAATACAAACGCAAAGAAAAATAGTAAACGAAAACAAACCCAAATCCAAAAACAACCACAAACGCAAACTAAAACTCAAACACAAAGAAAACACAAACGCAAAGATAAACTCAAAGTGTCCACAGTCTAGCCCGGGGCGCCAAATCGCACCATGACGACGTGCGGCATAACCGCCTGATTCAACTTAGTAAACGACTATAGTATCCAACTTATTCATAGTCTTTTGAACTCACTTACGTGAACGTAGGTACCATAGTGAAAACGGGAAGGCCCGGGGCGCCAATTAGCACCCTGTCGGTGTGCCGGAGGACGCCCGGATTTGATTCACTTAAAGACTATAGTAACATTTCTTATCCATAGTCTATCGCACTGTTTAAAACGAAATTATGCACCATAGCGCTCACACGATAGCACAGGGCGCCAAATTGAACCGTGCAGGGGCGCCGGCGGACGCGCCTGTTTCAATTTAGTGAACTAAAATATAATATTCCAAGCTTATCCGTAAATGGAAAGAAACATATAGGATTTGTAGGACCTGGCTTATTAAATGTTATTGATTTTAAAAAAATAATTAGTAAACAGTACGTTCAGTATATAGAATAAATAAAAGGCAGTATTAAAGACACCAACGACATTGCACTTAATCAATCTCCGCTAATTATGTAATTTTTTTCTTAACACCAAAACAAAGTAATAAAAAGTAAATTCTTTCTTCCCCCGATTTAATGATTTTTTTTAAAGGGAAGTAACTGTGTTCCAAATCAAGGGACGTTATGAGAACTAAAGGACAAAATGCAAATACATTTCAGACACAATTTTAGAAATTTTATAAACGTTAATACACTTTTTTTTTAAATTTTATGTAATGTTCATAATTTAAAATTATTATTCTAAGTATATGAAATGAAAATTGTTTTTAAAGACTTTCAATAGTAATTTTTTAACTCATAAATTTAGACCATGAACGCTTTAATAATCTAACACTTTAATCCATCTGAGTATCGTTTTTTTTCTTATATTCCTTTGTAATCCACAACAAACATTTTACATTCAAACATACAGGATTGAACTTTATATATTAGACTAATAATATTCCGCACTATTTTGCACATTTTATATGACGTTCACTTGGTGTGCAATTCTTTTTTCTACGAGATTTTATTCTATTTTAAAAAGTTTAAGTAATTAAAATGGATTAAAAGTTATGTCTATATCCCGAGTTGCCATTCCCTGTTGTTTCATATAAGAATATTCGAGAAAGTTTAGGGGAGATCACTCCCGGTTTATTATTTTATGCTATTAATTTTGTAAAATGATTAATAAGTGTAATGAGATCTACTTATAGCTCCAGCTATAAGAGATTTAAAAATTCCATCATAGCAGTGGCGTAGCTACCGTAAAGCTAGAGTAAGCAATGCATAGGGGCCCAATGCACTTAGGAGCCCTTTTCCTTCTTTAATTGGTTAATAAATTTTGATGTTTATTTTATATACACATTTTTTAAAAAAATGGAAATCAAGTTTTTTTTTAAATTTTTATTGTAGAAATGATTTAAAAAATTCAAAAATGCCCCAAGTCCTTTCATAGTGTACAGGCAGTGGCATTCAGTGTGTGTGTGGGGGGGGGGGGGGGGTGGCGTCGAATAGGGCCCACCCGGATTAATAACACAACAAGCGTACACGGCCCACTCGTATTAATTCGCCACAGTCGCTAAGTGTGTGTGTGGGGGGGGGGGGGGGGTGGCGTCTATAAGGGACCACCCCGTATTAATAAGACCACAAGCGCTGCCGCAGTTTTGGTAAGCAATTCAGTGAATCAGCCTATAAAATTTAAATGTGAGATTTGATATCCAGCACCCGTATTTTCACGTATCGCTAAAAACCTCAACTGAGTGGGAAACTCCCAACACCCTTCCCCCCACCACCACCACCACCCAGGAACCTGCATTTCCTTTCTGTCTACTTTATATATGTACGACTAAGTTTCAACAATGCGGACGGGTATGCCAGTTCCGTATAAAACTTCTTTAACATTCGTGAGTTTAATGTCAATTATGGGATTTTTAAATCTGATAATTTGCATATTATGATGATGATATGAAACAAATTGTAAATATGCCTTTTGGGTCAGTAACTTGGCCGGCTAAAATAGATCTCAAGAAGCTCATTAATAATTTTGCAAACTAAAATGCATGAAAAATAAATCAAATATAAATAAATTATGATACATTTTAAACAAATTGTGCTTGGTTAGTGGTCACAAGGTCGGCTGTCCCCCTGAGCGTTTCCTTAAGTTGTAACTTCCCCCCCCCCCCCTCCCCACACCACCCACCCCCAACAATTTTGCATTTTCGGTGGGCTGTCACCCCTCTCTTCCTAATCTTTTAGTATTTTACTTGGATAAAACATAGTTTTGACAGTACATTTTACATTTTTTTAGCGCAATTTCCATTCTGGAGAATTGCGTTTATTAACCCGTCATTTCTGGATGGATGGATGAATGAATGAATGAATGGATGTGTGTCCGCAGCTTTAAGTCGTATCTCCTCCTCAACGAAGCAATATCGAGGACTAGTTCCAAAGCAATTATGTTAAGCATGTTACGAGGATGAACATAGGCCAAAAAAAATCCGGGTTTCTTTCATGGATTTCCCGGAAAAGCTAAAAAAACTCCCAAAAAAAGCAGTTTTTGGCCCATATCTCGGCAACCAGACCACTTAGCGACTTGAAACATGTACCAATCGATTCCTGCCATAATTTAGAACAATATTGCCGAAGAAAGTTTTCAAAAATATCCTTTCGTTCGGTCACAAAAAAAATTTTGAATTAATTAAAATTTGGACCGAATTAGCAGGCATTTCTATCCAACCACACCACACACGTCATCACGTTCAATAGCTGCGCCATCACGTTAAATGGCTGCGCCATCACGTTCGGTAGCTAGGCGCGCAATGGTTTTTAGTCATGTAACTCTAGTGTAAATAAAACATGTAAAATACTGAAATTTTTTAAAATAAAAAACGTTTTAATAACTAACCAATGGTTTTACTAACCCTGCTCTTGATTTACGCTACGACAGAGCTATTTTTAGATAACATAAGGAAATTGCGATAAAAATTGTCCCTAGACTTTTTAATTACCTTGTTTGTCATGGTGTCACGGCTAAATGGTGCTAACGAATATGGACCGCACCTTTGCCTTGTGATCCAATATATTTTACATCACAGTGCATTATGTAATATTACAGCACAGTCAATAAGTGAACGGCAAACAATATGTGTATGATCGTGCGGAATATTAGTAGTTTAGTACTTTAAAAATTGATCTGCGTTTTTTACTTTGGGGTCATCCATAAATGACGTCACGCTTTTTTGGACGATTCCCCCCCCCCTTCGTCATACGTCGTCACAAAAAGCCAGACACCCCCCCCCCCTAAAATGACGTCACACCTCAGTCTACAACCCCCCTCAAATTTGCAGTTGAATGTTTCTTAAAATACGACATTTTTCCAAAATCTTGTCTGAACTCTGTCAACATAGAGTATTAGAATCAATTACTCCTACAATTTATTCTAACAGTTTTCTAAAGCGCGAAATAACGGCTGAAATTCGTTTTCTAACATTGCATTTTTTCTAATGCAAAAGTGTGACGTCACACCATCTGACCCCCCCCCCCCCCCATCACACACCATCACAAAATTACGGACCCCCCCCCCCCCACCCCTCCGCCCAACGGATGTAACGTCATTTATGGACGACCCCAAAGTAAAAACACCTACCCTACATAGAGTTGACAAAATATACGGTACTAGCCGTCTCGGCCAGACCATGCACTGGCGTCTGTGAAAAACCTATCAGTAAAGGACCATGACTTGTGTGTTTATTAAGCAGCATGTACCCCGCATTTCCCAGGCTTAGGAAATATATTACTTTTCGAATTAAATATCTATATGCAAATATTGACGTTTGAGAAAATAACACTTAACCCTGAACGTAACGCAAACTCTAAACTTAACACTAATCAAAACCAACCAAAACAAAAACAAAAAAAAACAAAACACAAACTAAAAAAGAAACGCAAAACGCAAACGTAACGCAAACACAAACCTAAAAACAAACACGAAAAGAAACCCAAACACAAACAAAATTACAAGCGTAAACACAAACACAAACGTAAACACAATCGCTAAAGAAAACCTAAACGCAAACATTAACTCTGAGAATAATGCAAAATTAAAGGCGAACATAAACACAAATTTACATGCAAACATAAACGCATATAGCCCGAGCCGCCAAACTTTACCCTGCCTGGGAGCCAGAAGACGCACTGGATTCCATTTAGTGAACGACTGTAGTAACCCATTTTATCCAGAGTCTATCGCACTGTTTAAAATGAAATTCTGCATTATATATCTCACAGGATAGCCCAGGGCGCCAAATCGAACCATGCTGGGGCGCCGGCGGACGCGCCTTTTTTTAATTTAGTGAGCGATTATAATACCCAAGCTTATCCGCAAACGGAAAGAAGTAAACATAGAGTAAACATACGTCTGAAAATCGTAATAAGCCTTTTCCGCTATGCAGGACGCCCGATTAACTTAATGGATATCAAGTGTTACGATGGCCACTTTGGAGTTCTGGGCGCCAAACGATGTATTGACGAAAATCGCACGCTCATTTAAGGTGACCCATTAAATTTTGGTAAAAGTTTCACATTTTCTTTGGGTGTGACACCATGAGATTTAAAATGAGGTGTCGTACCGGCTGACACACGACCTAGCGACGCCACTGTATCTAGATCTAGATCAGAATAGTAGGCCTAGGCCTAGTGTGGTAAGCAAGGCTGTTCTGGATAGTCAAGCCACCGTGAAACGCCACAGCGCGCGTCTGCTGTGGAACCAATCGTGTGTCGTGCGACGAACACTCTTCATTCTAGATCTATGCCTAGCAAGTCAAGAGAAAGATCTACACACATTAGTCTAGGAATCTATAATCTAGCTAGATCTAGATTAGATCTAGTTCTATTGTTTGTTTTTTTGTTAAATAGATCTAGCTAGATCTACCAAAATAGTATATTTAATTATTTAATATTAGAAATAGAGATCTAGATTTCTAGATTTAGTATTTAGATCTAAGACCAAAGATGACCTTACAACCTAATTTTCTGGGATCCATAACCTTAAAGGCGCTTTTGGAAGACCCAGCTCTAAAGAACCCAGCTGTCATTGATTACTGTAAGTAAAAGTTTAAAGTATGTAAGATTAATATAATTATAGCTTTTCGGTAATGTATCGTTTTAGGCTTTAGGGAGGTACGTAAAATCGCCCGCAGCTAGATCTAGTAGTAATGTATAAAAAAAGTTAACTCATTGTCAAGGCTTTACTAGATCTATATACTATATACTATATAGATTTAGGCCTAGATCTAGATCTAGGCCTATTGTGATATGTGTGTCAAATATTATAGATAAATGAATAATAAACCTAAATCAATGGCTAAATATATCAATCTAATATATAAAGCTCAGTTCTGTATGTAACGCATATGTTTGTCGTTGGTCTTGGGTCTTGGATGGATTTAAGTGTTAGACTAGGAATGTTGGGATATTTTTCCTAATTACCATAGAATGATAAAATGTACACAGATTAATCCTATAATACACCCCATTGATAAAAATACCAAATTTATCATTCTAGGCCTAATAGTTTTTTTTATATGAATTTTTAAAGTTATGTATAAAACCTGTTATATATCACTGTAACATCGGATTTAATTGTGTGATTGGCTTAAGGCTTGCATACCACTGCTGCTATTCGAGATATAATTATAAAACTTTGCACATTAGTGCTAGAGAGTGTGGGCAATAGAAATATGAAAGTAAAATCAAAATTTGATGAAGGATAATTAGAACTAATCAAGTCAAATTAAAGTGAGGGGTGCTGTTCTATATAGGTCAATATGCAGACTGAAAGTCTATGTTTGTTTTTTTTAATATTAAAATTGAAACTTTGCTAGAGGGTGGGGGCAATAGAAATATAGAAAAAAAATATATTAAGTATGACTGCATATAATTAAAAAGTCCTATGAAAGGGTGTTGCACCCTTTTATAGTAGTTATAGTGACTGCAACGGACGTATGTCCAGAATGTTACTATAATAGGATACATTTTGGTTATTGATACTGAAGCATGTAATAAGAAGAATGCTGAAAAATAAAACTATGGATGGTGTGTTAAAGCACTCAACTACTAACATGCAAGTCTTAAGCTCAGATCTCAGACGAGTCTGTCTGTGCAGCATGCAGCATCCACCAAGCTCAGATGAGTACCTGACCCAAGGGAAAGTAAAGATAGCTTGGCAGAGAGCTAACCACACCATCACTTCATGTGCATGGGTCAAGAAACAGATAAACTCTACTTCAGCTGCTTTATGGATGATGGATTGACAGGTCCAAAAGGGAAACTACTTTAATATACTAGGGCCTTTATAAGACCCTATTGATATTTTGGTACAACTAAATTACTAATCAATAGAAAAACCTTAAATTCTTGTAAAAGTTTATTAAGCTAAGTGTTAATTTGTACCAAATCAGAAGTTACAGCTTCCCTGTCTATCTGCTTATATGAATATATATATTGGCAACATGCAGTGATTTAAATCCGTATTGTTTGTTGTTATTTGTTACTTTTTATTATTAAATGTAAAAATTGTATCCTAAATTATTATGAATAATAATTATCATGCCTTTTTCATGTCATTCTAAATTCACTGCCTTATTAATTAGTACCCCCCCCCCCCATGTCAATTGCTGCACCTTTTGTTAATTATTTACTAATGTCAATGTCATAAGCATAATTATTACAAATAATTAAATAAGTTTATCACCAAGCTTCTTTACTTATCATAACCAATAATAGGCCCAGACTTACTTTATCAATCGATACATATAGTATATAGCATTAGTTATACTAAGAAATAGGCCTATAACTTATTTATAGTATAAAGTATAATAGTATATTAAAGGCTATTAGTATTAGCCTTAAATCTAAGTAATTAAGTAAGTAGGTATGTGTGAAATGCTTAACACTATTTAATGTAAGCCTAAGCTTCTTGCCTGTCGGTTTTAATAGATAACTTGATCAACGTATTTATCTAGTTTTAACAGTGCCACCCACAATTTAAATTCTTTCCAACTTCGAAAACTACGTCATTGGCATTAGTGCGCGTATTTTATCGATAATAGGTAATGCGGTGCTAAACCGACGCCATGGCGTTGTCAAGGCCGAAGCGCTAGCTCGGGGATTTGACATGTATGATAACTCGTAAGCAGAAGTAGTAAGTGCCATAAAACCGTTATTATAATAATATTTGTTTATTTAATGGACACTTACAACTAATGGCAAGACACTTATAAAGGGTTTAATACGTAAACTTATTTAAAATGTGACAGCACCGTACGGGACATGTTCGCGAGATAAACTCATTAGAATCGTGCGATCGATTTCGGCTTAAAGATTGTCATAATGGCGGTAATTTTCTAATTGAAACATATAATACGACTACACTAGAATATCTATATCGAATATTTCTAAAAACTCGATTCCAACATTGAGATTCGGCATTCTTCGGAAAAGGGCGAGTTTTTATAAAGACTGCATCGAAAAGTCCGGATGTTGAATACCGAATCGAAACAGCGGAAGTCGGAATGCCTAGTTAGACAATTATCATGCGCATTTGTCTAAATTTATGAGTTAAAAAATTATTATTGAAAGTGTTGGGAAATAATTTTCATTTTTCAAATTATAGTAATAATTGTCAGCATGTTCATTAAACACAAGTTTTAAAAAAATATCATCTTTTACAAAAATTCTAATTATGTCTTTATTTAGTCCTATAGCACTTACTTCCCTTTGATAAATTAGGGAAAACACAATTACTTCCCTTTATAAAACCATTGCATTTGTGGAAAAGAAATTACTTTTTAATTACTTTGTTTTGGTGTTGGGAAAAAAAAATTACATAATTAGCGGGGATTGATCAAGTGCAAATGTTGTAGGTATTTTACGGATAAGCTTGGAGTATTATAATTGTTCATCAAATTGAAACAGGCGCGTTCGTTTAAGTGAGTGCAAAAGACAATGAATAAGTTGGGGTACTATAGTCGTTCATTAAGCTAAAACAGGTGATTCCGCCCCGGGCGTTTATGTTCGCGTTAGTGTTTTCTTTGTGTTTAGGTGGGTTTGCGTTAGTGGTTGCGTTTTGATTTGGTTAGTTTTTGTTCTTTCTTTTTTCGTTTTTGTTTGTGTTTTTTTTGTTTGGGTTTGTATTTGTGTTTTTGGTTGGTTTTGCGTTTGGATTTGGTTTGTTTTCGTTTGCTTTTTCGTTGTTTTTTTTTTTTTTTGTTGGTATTGGTGTTTGTGGTTGGGTTTGTTGTTAGGTTTTTGTTTTCGTTTGCTTTTTTGTTTGTTTTTTCTTTGTGTTTGTATTGGTGTTTGTGATTGTGGTTGGGTTTGTTGTTAGGTTTTTGTTTTCGTTTGTATTTGTAATTGTGTTAGCGTTATGTTTGCGTTTTGTTGTTTTGGTTGGTTGTGGTTTGGGTGGGCAATGCCGGGTTTATGATGATTACTAAACACACAGGTAATGGTCTTTAACAGAAAGGTTTTTCACAGAAGCCAGAGCAGGGCCTGGCCGGGACGGCTAGTATAGTATATAGGCAAGAAATTATCTTTAAACAGCAGTGTTTGCGAGCAGGATTTGCTACTAGATCTAGTAGTACTAGATCTAGATCTATGTATTATTAAACTATTAAGGGGATATGCGCGAAAAAAAAATCACAAAAGTCTTGTTTTTCGTCATGATGGGTTTCTTGCACTTTTGAATACTTTGTCCATTTTTGTATAAAGAAAATAATAACTTTAAAGAGAAAAAAGTATTTTATGTGTTTGAATTACGATTTTTATGACCCTATTAATTGAAAAATAATCAATTTTTCACAATCTTACAAGCTCTCTATGAAAAGTTTTATATCCGTCACTATATTGTATTTGACATCATTGGAAAGCTGGATTTCTCATGTATTTAATAAACTTAATTTCCTACATCTCGAAAACACACAAAGCTTACAATCGACTTTGCAGTTTACACAGATATGGTACTTTCCTGGCCTAGTTTTTTTTACTTTTGGCTGTTTTTCTCAGTTCGCAGGTTTTTAACACTAAAAAGCCTACTACTTTTTTATTTATTATAAACAATGCCAACAATATTTTCACTAAATGTTCTTAATGCGAAAATACAACTTTTGTCACGAGGGAATTGTGATTGCTTTCATAGAAAAAAAGTATTTGGTAATTAATATGCACATTTTGAAACTTTTGAATACTAAAAAGGGTACAATTTTTTAGACCTTGTAAAATTCTTATTAGTAATTATTTCAAAAAGTTGTCGTGACAAAAGTTTTAATATATACTAAAATATAAGCAGTTTAAATTTGATTGCTAAAGGTTCATAAATAAAAAAGCCTTAGTATTTTTAAAAGTACCGAAAAATTCAAAATGGTGGAGGTTTTTTGGGTTTCCATGACAACCAAAATTGTTTTCGACCCTTTTTTTTATTTTAATACTTACTTTTATATGTTAAATATGATAAAAGTATTCAAAAGGCTTTAGATCTTAAACTGTAAAAAATAGAAAAAAACATAGCATATCCCCTTAATGTAAAAAGCAGCCATCTATAAGTTAGAGTGGCTTCCCCTGAATCTTGCGCTATAAGTTTACTATATAAAAAAAATAAACAAGATGGCTGCTATAGTAAATGGCATGGTTGCATCTGTTGGAATCGCTAGTCTTTATTTATTACTGAAAAGTTTTAATTCAATTGTTTAAAAACAGGTAGATCTACATAAATGAAACAAGGGAGCATTTTTTGAATTTTTCAACACATAAATCCTCCTCAAAATGTGAAATAATTATTAAAATTTAAGGAGTCACCTGTTTTTCACATTACTAGTCGCGGGCGATAGATTACCAGATTTTCTATCTAGATTCTAGATGAGATCTAGAATCTAGACCACTATAATTATTTATTACTCTTAACTAGGTTAAAACCTTAGCGTCGTAAATTCGGCCAAAACTACTGTCCTAGATCTAGTAATGTGGGGGAGAAAAAATTAATGAATATATCTGAGCAGGCCTATATTTTCATATTAAATATTATAGATAATTGAATAGGCCTAATAG